GCGACTTGCGATACGGATTTCAACACCTTCAATATTTCTCATTTGTTCGATTTTTCATCCGAGTCAGTGGGCTTTCCTTTCATAAATTTCTTCATTGCCACTTCGCAATCGCTGCCCCTCTAATGTGGTTAATTTTCGCGTATTTTCTGTTGATGCGCTCGCTCAGTCTCCCAAAACGCCGGATCGTCGATTCTCGCCGACCACTGGATCAACACAGTCTTTTCTCGTTGAGCAATCTAAAACCGCCTCAGCTCTCAAAATGCGGAATCTCCTCAGTCGCGAACTATGAACGCGACCTAAGTGAGCTACGCACGAATAAAAGCTTTGCCACTTTTCGGTACATCATGTCCCAAAGTTGGTTGCACTTATAGAGGAGCAACTTGCACGAAGTCGGTAATAGCGGAATTTCCCAGGTGCCGGCGAACTCGTGTAATGTTCGTGGTCAGAGGGGACGATGTTTTAATAGCTTTTTTCCCCCACAGTTCCTCCACAAACGCGTCAACCACTTAGCACCAGGTCCATCGCACCTTTAGGAAGAGAAAGAAGCAAAAGCAAATGACTGTTGTATTCACGGCACTGGACGGCAGTGACAAAACCTGCAAACAACTCGCACAGATCACTATCGATTTTGTAGCATTTTTCCATCGGCCCCTTCTCATTAGGCTTTTTCAAGCAGGGAAGCCGTGAAGAAGACAAGATTTGACTAAATCGTGAAGAGCCGAACAGTGTGTTCTCCCCACTTTCTTACGATGAATTACAGGACACGCCATCATTTCGTTTCTCGATTTTTCTAGGGGGTAGTTTGGTGCAGCTCGGGCGACACATATGAATCGATAATGATGCTGTATGAATCATTTGACGCTTCAACACAAAGGAATGATGGCATGCACTCGACACCAATGAAATTCCAACTCACCCGTCGTGCTAGACACGCGAATCGGAAATCCATTTTTGAACGCTCCACAGCCGACCTCAAACATTGCTGCTTAGCTCGGTATAAGATTAAGGCTGGACAAAAAGAACAGTAAACAAAAATAGGACGCTAATCGGCGCTAAGAGCTTAGGGAGGGACCTGTAAGCCCTTGTCAGCATACCAAATCCTGTGAACTGTACACATGTGAATACCGGACAGCCTTGTCAATCACTATAAGCCTCGTTCTAACCTGTCGAACAACCTGTAAACTCTTCCAAACTTGTAAAAATGACTGGTTAAGATTCTGGAAACAAAGGAGAAACGGCTTTCCAATGATGCTAGTGCCATTGTGCCAAGCCTGACAGGAGTTCACAGGGTAACTGACGGGAGTTTACAGGACTTACACGATTTCGAAAAGAATAAAGAAAACAAACAAAGGCGCAATAAAAAATCTTATTGGTGGTTATACCCCCCCACCCCCAGGTTATGAAGCGCCTAAAAATCTACATGCCTAAGAGATCAAGATTAGCTTACCTGTGCAAAGAAAAGCTCCTTCGAAATGGGGTTATACACGATTCCTGCTCGCAGCTCCTTATTGATCGCTAGGCCCACACATATAGCAACGAGCGGGATCCTTCAATAGGAAATGACCCGTATTAAAAGAACATATTTGACAAATCTGGGCCAAATCGCCCCCAAAAGAATTGCCGCTCCGCTCAGATCGAGAGATGACTAACAATAAGAAAAAGTATATACTAAATCGATACACTCACCTGTGAACAAAATTCGTCGTACCATCAATCGGATCAATAATCCAAGTGGGAGCATTAGTATATTCAATAGTAGCGCCGTTAGCTGTGGACTCTTCGCCAATGAACCTTTAAAAAGTTGCAGAAATCAATAAAGTCGTTTGTTGCTCAGTAGACGCAAGCCTGCACTTTTTTCAAGGTCGGTTCTCAAAAGGATCCCTGGTGCTATGATTGCTAAACCCCGCTAAGAATCTTACAGCACGGCAGCTAGAAATATCTTTCAAGTAGAAGATAGAAACCACTATTTCTTAAAGCAGGCAGTAGCTCGAAAAGGGATAAGCGAAAAATATTCGAAGAGAGGGGGAAACGTCAACAGGGTCCTGTCAAAGCCACATGGACTGGAAACAAATTTCATTTCCACAGGTTGGATGCCCTAAAAATATAAGATGCGACAATCTGTCTGAGAGGACTTCAAAGATATCGTCGTGTCTCCTTCTGCTACATCGCTGTAATGTCCAAAAAACTAAATTCTAGAATGTACGGGACAGCACTTGGGCTAGCCAACAGCCTAGATTCCTATTTTTCAGTGAATGGGTGCGGTGAGGGGACTAAGGTTGCACGGCTTCTGTGTGTTCCATCAAGCGGATTTTCTCTGGTTGTGAGGGTCCAGAGACATTTCTTCTTCACAACTTCTGGCCGAGCATTTGAAAGGAAGAAAATAATGAAGAGAGAAGATAGAATAAAGAAAGGGATAGAAGGGAGGTATAAAAAAAGAAAGAAGGGAGGCTTAACGGATATTCTGAGACGGCGGAAAGGGGTCCAAACGACTCGTTGTGGAAAACAGGGATCATCGAGACCAGAATCAGTGGCGTATAAATTGCTTCATCCACTTCGAACCTTCTTCTCGTCCATTTGCATTTGTCTCATTTGCATCACGATGAACGAAGTCTCACTCAATATGTCCTTTGAGTACCCCCTCCCTCAAGGTTATTAGTGTCAGCCCTTTCCTATAGTTATGAATTTTCCAGTAAACTGATCTACGGGCAAAGGATAAAGCTCGAAGTTGATCAAACTATTCTGAGCATGCAACTTTAATTCGAATTATACAAGTCTAGTAGCTCTTCGGGTGTCTGATTGCGCTTCGGTCTACATAACGAGCTGTGGAGGCCAGGCAGCGAACAAACCAAATGTCCCTCCCAGGTAAGTCTGGTGTGTTTGCCCGAGCTCCACGAAGTAGGATAGGAAGCTTCGTCGGCCTGTTTGAAATTCGAATCCGCATTCAAATAGAGATGATCATGAGCATTCCTGATTCCATTCATTCCATGCTAACCCAAGCTAGAGTCTCGAAAAGCCTCCTATACCATTCGGGAACCGTCTTCCTCCCCTTAGGATGTGTTCATACTTCTCTACTCGAGCCAGGGAGGCGGTCGTTTGGCGCGATTACATAGCAGTTGACATGTTCTAACAGGTAACGTTACGTGCCTGCCAAGTCGGATACCTTGTCTGGATCACTGAACTATGAGGTTTTCGTAATTTATAGTCTACCAAAAGCCGTGACTGTTGGTTCTAGTGCTCATAAATTTATGTATTTTTAAATTGTTATAAATCTATGCTAGGTCTTCTTCTAATAGTCACTCAGGAAAATACACTGATTTGGAAGATCGGACGAGTTGTTTCACATGGAGGTCGGTTTGCCTGACATGTTTTGACGCGTACGCGACAAAAAAATTGCATCAAACGACATACACCTTTCGAGCCATTCAGTCGCGAATGTGCACGCATTCTGGCATTCAATGAGACAAGATACATCCTCCGATATAGCTTGTCTCATTAAACGTAATTTTTGAAAGTCTCTGATCAAAATAATAGAGTAGTCGCTATTAGATTTATTAGGGCAGGAAAAGTTGTTTTTCCTGCATTGCTGGTTTCTTTTGCTGCAGGCAAACACTTACAACGTTTACACTTGACAAGAGCCCACACGTCAACTTAGACGATACTTGTAAACTCTTGTCAAGCGAACGGGAAAGTATAGGTATTAATCGGACGGAACGCCAGCCTATTTATCTCTCCTCTCGAAACGCTTGGACGACGCCTATATTTTCTTTTTCGCCCAAAAAGCTCCAAACGCTCAAAACGCTGACGAAAAGTATGACCACAGCCCCAAGTATAAAGAAGAACAACTCCAAAAAGTTTTCAACGAAAGACTCCTGAGTGGTGAAATTAAAGGCGTTCTCTTCTATCTCCGTGTCAGGCAATCGTCCGATTTTCTTCACCGACATTTTTTGCCTAACTATACACAGTACTTGTGCGTTCCCTCACTATACACAGTACTTATGCATACTAAACAACTTACTTGTGATCAGGGAATGCTTTTGAAAGCCCTTGGATCAGCAACTTTTCTACTGCTTGGTCCGTTTCCGTGACGAGATCGACATCAGATGCTTTCGTCTTGACGACACAATTCGTTTGGTCGAACGCATCACGAACGAGCTGGAACTCGAGACCAACGTATAAGGTCATTTTATTGAAAAAAGAACGAGTGAAGAGCCTCATTCTAGAAAAATAATGAAGTAACAAACAGCTAAAAAATGAAATATTCTGCAGCTTAAAATGAAATATTCTGGTCAAAAAGAATCCGCCGTCGTCAATGTCCCGCTTTCTGCGTCTAGGGAACATGTCCGAATAGTTTCTTTGTTCAACAAATGCGTATATAAGATCAGGGATATTAATGTCAGTTTTAGCGACTGAAGGCTGTCGCAGCATTTCGTCCGATGAATAGAACAGTTGAGATCAATCACGCGGCTGCAGGTCCTTCTTTCCGATTTTCGAATATAATGTGTCCCGTGCAACAGCAAGCAGATGTACTAACTCATCGACTTCGCAGGGAGAATAGTTAGGTGCTTGGGAGGGGGCTGATCGGGATTAAAGCACCGGACTGCGCGTATGATAAGTGGGTTATTCGCCACAGCATAATCTCCCTTACGAACTGACCCACAGATTCTACACTACAGGCTATAAGATCAGCCTACTACTTTTGCCCTCCAAGAGAAACTGGAATCCAAGCAATCTATCCTTGATGATAAAAGGGCGAGACCACTAGAATGGGGCCGGCTCCTATGCAGTACAAGCGGAGAGGGAGATTTACGGCCAAAGTGCTCCCCATCTTCGGCCTTGTTCATCCCTTGCTACATAGGGGAATAGAATTCGCGAAGAAAATTAGATGCGCTCCAACAGATTTCCCTCCTCAATTTTTTTCGACTTGCTATTTAGATTTCTTTTATGATTTTCGAATCCTAGTTCGGCAACGGGGGGGGGACGTTTTGCACCTTCGCTCCTTCCCAGATTTGCGAAATCTTGTGAAGTCATGAAAAGATAAGCAGTCAAAGTTTGTTAAATCTACTCGCCAACTCTTGTAAAGAATACCTGTCAACCCTTGTGAAGCAGTGAACATTGCAATGGGAAGCAGCAAAAGTGCAAATCCGCCCCCCCCCTTTCGTCACCGAACTGCGCCAAAATATGAACCTAATGAACCTTGTGACTGACGCTGCCTAACACCTGCCGCAGAAAATGAATGAAAAATGGCAGACCATTGAAATGCTGTGACTCACCCGCCCTGCTTCTTTCACCAGTTCCAATGCGGTGTCAACGAATTTCTGCTCATCAGGATGTACCGGTTGAAACACCATCTGAAAATTGATGCTGAAGTATTTTCTCCACTTCATGAATACAAGCTAATTTAGGCACGTGCTACGAAGTGAAAAAAAAACAAATATTCCGGCAAAAACAAAGCAAAGAAAGTCTCATTGTATTACCACTACTATAACTTTCGAGTATGCTGGAGGAACTTTAGTTTAAAGACAGTTTCCAAAACTAAGTGACCCGTGTAATGTCTTCGCACATTTGGAATTCGTCCCACTCGCAAACAATGTATTACTTTCGTCACTCGAAAGGGCGAGATAAAGAGGCTGTAGACGCGTGACTAATGCAACCTCTATTATTTCACTCTACAAAACAACTACTCACATGGTGAATTACGTGTATGCATCTTGTTGCATGCAGTATCGTAGGACCAATTCATATGCTTTGAAGGACAGAAACTGCTTGACAATACTGACATGCTTTCTAAGGTCCTGCAGCGGTCGCCGGTAGTTTTCTGATTTTGACGAAAAACAAGAAAAAACACCGAAGCCGCCTTGCACTAGTCTCCATTTCATGTTGTGGTGAAAAGTAAACGAGGGATAAACCTACATAAACTAACAGAGAGCTAGCGAGCGCCGTTGCTATGATACATCCAAAAAACAGATTATAAAAAGTAAAAGGGGAGAAATTCATGAGAACCGTGCCAGAATAAATAAAATGCCATCGCTTCACAAGGACAGTTGGAATGAAACTGTTCCAATGATGCTACCATTCGCAACTTCACCTACAGCACGGCAAGTCCTACCGTTGGGGAAAATGTTTGCAAATTACGCTCCCCCCTCTCCAAAAAAAGAATATCCTCTGGTACGACCTCCCTTTCCCCATCCTACTTACGATCTCCATAATTTTCACAACTTTTATCCCTTTTTCGGAGTGTTATTTTAAGTTTACTATGTGACGGAAAATCCGTGACCAGTCAGCAACTGGAAACATTATTCTGAAGGACAAAAAAAGACCCCTACCCTCCAACAGCAACAACCGAATCGAGCGTCTTTAATAAATCCATACAACTAAAAAGATGGCATCTGAGACACTATGTCGGACTATACTTCAAACCTTCTCCCAGAGCCTTAACTAGTGGTGATCCTTGAGTTGTATGAGGAAGCTTATCTTAGAGACAACCTGAAGGCTTCTGATAAGCAGCAGCTAATGTTGTAGAAAGACAGACTAGCAGCTTAATGGCTGCTTTAAAGACGAAGAGCTCGATGGTAAACCAACGTCGTAACTCATGAAAAAAAGACATTGCCCAAGAACTGAGGAAGGATTGGAGAGAGGAAAAAAGACGCAAAAGGGAAAGTGAACTTCATTCAATTCAAATGACTTTATTTCCTTGTAATCGCTAAGCCTCGCTGGAAGTGGTTCGATTGGGGCGCAAATTATGAATAGAGCACAAGTGCTGCATCGGCGGAAATGAAGTTCAAGGGCGGGCTCCTAAAAAATGTCCCACTCGTTGGACCACAGGTAACTTGTCGGAAGCATACCCAGTCGGGTGAATACGTGGGGCAAAATTGAGCGGTTCAAATCACCTTTGAAACCGTACCGTCTGATCAGGCCTTATGAAAATCTACTTGGTTTATGCATCTGAACAAATAGACTGATTGATAGGGATTCAGCGAAGCAGCCTCGCAAATCGATCGATATTCGTACCCAAGTTATAAAAACTTCCCGGAATGTCGAGTCACGGATTCTTCTATTTTTTGGAAGAGATATTCGACCGATATCCATGCACTCCTTCAGCGCGCCGTTTCAAAACGTCTGCTCACCGATTTTCGTTTTCTCGTTTTCTCCCAAGTCACCAATTCGACACCCCCCTCTCCTCTAACTCACATGCTGTTAGACCATCTAGTCGTCGATTTTCTTACTTCCCTGTCACAAAGTATACACCCAGCCCGGTAGGATAACTTTTCTTCAACGCAACGCAGGTTTTGTATAGCTTTGACGCTAACGTAGTTAAGTTGGCAGGGGCAGACTATTTGCACGCGTTCCTACACTCTTTCCTTGAAAGGGCTTGGGTTCAGAGCGTAGACGACCAAAGTCGTTCAAAGATAGAAAGAGAAGACACAGACGCCTTAAAGAAGAACTACGCTGAAGCCTCTCTAATTCTAAATCGATGAAGAATAGGACATTCAATGCCTCTGTCTGCCACCCTCTCCCCATAAGATAAATGCAGATAAAGCTTAAGAAATAAGGTTAACTTTTGGTATTTATTTGCTCATAAATAATGACTTAGAATTTCAAAAAAGTTCGAAGCTGGTGTCTGAACGTGTTAATGTCAACTCTTCACAAAGCGTGGCAGGGAATCGTACGCATCGATCAATAGCCGTGCCGTGAGGGACGATTATCCATCGATCCGAAATATGAAAACCCGAGCCTCTTTCATTTTTTTTGAATTTCATAAGAGGAGAACAACATACTAGAAAGCATTTGAAGTAATAGAGTAATTTTAAGGCTAACAACCTGATTTAGTTGCATTTCCAGTGTAATAATCGGGGAAAAGAAACTGATTAAACTATATTCTGGATACCTCCCACGACAAGTAAGCAAGACGCGATACGTTCGGGGTAAAGAAAGCGCGGCTTGCGAGGCACGATTCTTCTCGAAATGTGCAATAATTGCTTAATCAGCATCACCACCACCTACCATCATTGGGAAAGCATTCTTGGGGAGAAAATCGGAGCCGAAGCGAGAGTAAGTGGACCGACGAGAGCAGGCCGAGTGTCAGCGAATCGATATCAGCCGCCATCATACGTCAGCCCCCAACGGCTGAACGAACGAAAAAAAAACATGCGAACACATGCACGTGATATGCATTTATCTCCCAACATTTCGCCCACACCCTACTGTCAAGGGCAAACAGGAAATATGGAAATTCTAAATAAAAACGGACGGTCACAGTCGTCCCGGCAATGAGGCACGACTATCGATTTCATCCCAAAGATAATCATAACTGTCGGCACATCAATTTTCTAAATGTTTACAATGGACACTGTACGTGATCGTATTTCATGGCATCGTTGCTAACGGCATTATTTCAGCCCGAATGGGAGGAGGGAGGGGGGGGGTGAAGCGTAACGATTCATCCGATGCCCACACAGCGACTATTATAATATTTACTAGTAGCCAGTTTAACATAGTGGCAGCTTCCGCACTTCTGTGAGGTTCTGGTGGCATTTGCTCGCCGGACAAGACAATCGTGAGTTGCTGCGTCGTCGCGTCGGCGCGGCGACGCATGGTGGGCGGCGATCACTCATGGGATCGGCGCTCATAGCTTGGCGACTGAAGCAGAGGTCGCTCAGTTTGGGACTAGGCTGTGCTGCGGCACAGCCAATGCACCTAAAATCACTGGCGATGTCGACAGGAATTTCATTAGAAGTGCTTCTAATTGGGCATTTTGGCAGCACCCCGACAACTAGCGGTCTGTCGAGGTCGGGGCGATTTGGGTATTGCGGACTGAATCCGCGAGGTATGAACGCGGTCTGGTTCGTTGCGTCGTCGCGCGCGACGCATTGCGTGGGCGGCGATGCGCGGCAAATTTTTCGACGGCGTATGCAGTTTGTCGAGTTGGAGCAGCGAAACTTGTTACAAATTCCGGCGCAGACAAGGCTGCGCATGACGGCATTATCGAGATTTTGCCCGCACTGTTTACATTAAATATTCTAGTCAGGCGGACAACTCGTTCCAGCGTTGCTCGCGCACGTCCCATCTAACGCGGCTTCTTACTAATGTCTTTGTCACATCACCCGCGGAATGGCAGCGTGATAGCGTGATGCGCGTCCCCCAGGACGCACAGACAAAAAAGCGCGCGACTGAATGGATCGAGCCGTGTAGGGGTGTAATGCGCAGCGCACAGCTGAGCAGGCGGACAGAAAGCAAACCACGAAGCTGGTTAAACTTGCAAAAACCAAAACGTATGTGGCAACAGCTAGACATAGTCGCAGCCTGAAAAGTAGCGTAGTGCGCTTCAACCAAAAATAATTCAGACCAACGACTGTGATTAGGCAATGGAGCACATTTGCTAATCTCGCTGTCACTTCTCACGGCTTTTCAAGATCGGTTCCTCGCTCTTCACCGTAATAACAAGGTTTGTCAGAGCCGCTATCAGGTCGAGCACTGTTCAAGGCGCAGCTTCGGTTTGTCTGGGTCGGTTGCGTGCATATTCGCAGTCACTGGAAACAGGAGAAGGCAGGGAAAGCGAATGGGTGATAGGGCTGTACAGAAAAGACTGTGGTATTGGATTCCGTGACGTGGGAGAAGGAGATAATGAAGGCGCGAATCAGAGGACAGAGCGCTAAAGGAGTACAAGGGAATACTCCGTCCTCCTAACTGGCTAAGTGTATTCCTCCGATTCACGCATTCTCCAGTTCTCTCGCTTCGCCGAACTTATACTTTACTTTGGCTCGTCAAGTGTCGCAAAGCATGAACTGTTCCAGCGCTGTTACAAGCTCCCAGAAACCCTCTCAAAATGTAGATGAATTGAGCATGCAAGCGCGTTTTTATCTGCACGATTTCGCGTGATTGCCGCCAGAATATTGTCGGCGCACCTTTTATGACTAAGCTGATTTGATATGTGTATCCATAGACAGAAACTTGAGACATGTGATTATGACCTGTAGGTAAATAGTTAGACACTCAATGCGTGACCTCTCCTGTATTGAGAGGCACGTATAGATTAAGTCGGCACCTTACCACGTCCACTCACCGAGCTCCGCCCGCCTGCGGACTACCTGAGGACCACCCCGTCTCGCTAGTATTTATTCCATCGCAACACACGACCCACCCCGTCTCGTCAATGAAGGCATTTAAACCTACACACGACATACCTTAGAATACTGCATTGTTATGTAGCCAGGAGCACTCCTTCCCAGCAAACCAATCATGGGCATTGCTCTTGAATATTGAGGTAGTTTTGAGATCAACATTCTGTTCTTGTTATAAGGGACCAACACCTCGATGATTGAGTTTGGTCAAGTTCCTTTCCATGTAAGTA